TTTCAAGCAGAAATGCGTCGAATGGAATTTATGAGATCAACTAGTGGAGAAGAGGAGGAGGAAAGAACTTTAGGCGCTTATGTAGCGAAGGTCGATGTTCATTTCACAATTAAAAAGCGGGATAAATTACTAGAATTTGGGCGAAATATTATGTTGGATAGTATATTTGATAGTTTAATGATTACTGAAGATGCCGATGAAGATAGCAAAGAAATTAATGACAACTCAGTTGAAAATAATTCAATAGAAAATAAGTTGGAAGTAAATCAGCAAATAAATGAATCGAAATATGGTAATGAGAGGTGTAAACACTCCATCTGAAAAATGATAGATAAATATTAATTCATAAAACGAGGGCAATATAAAATAATAAAATTAAATTTATTAAATTCACCTTGATCTTGATCAATTATATTTGTATCATCCAAATTTGGACCAATATACAACGTGGATTTGATATCATCTTCGACCTTAACTGACGCTCTAAATGACTCACGATTTTTCAATAATGGGATTATAAGATATTTCATTACATTTTTTTTCAGCCTTGATAACTGCAAGTTGATCGAGCCAATTTCCGAGAGAGAAGTAAAGACAGAAGTTAAAAGTGTTGGAGAATTGAAATCTAAACCGAACAAAATATATATATGTGTAAACAAGACGATTGTAATAAATATGATAACTGAAAAACGACTGACTTTGGACGGAGGAAAAGATTATAAGGCTAACTCCATTAGTATCGTCATCACCAAATTTTTGAAAAGAAATTGAGTCACTTAAAAGATCATCAAGACTTTGATCTAGTGTTTCTTTCATGGTTGTCAGTTGTTCCTGAATATTAACACAAGGAAAGTGTTACATGATTTTCACTTCTAGTTTTGGAAATTATTTACAACAGCTATATGTATGCCAAATAATTTTTTGAATATTCGATGCAATATATATAATTTTCCCTCATGTTAAATTCAGCACATATTGCGAAATACTATATGTTTACAAAAACCTATGCAAACCTTTAATTTCTCAAAAATATGGATCTTTTGATCTGTTTGTATAGGCGGAAATTCTAACAATCTATCCTAAAGAACAATATCTAATAGTTAGTTTATATTAAAATTAACGCGTTAAGAGATTATTTCATATAATTAGTCATACCATATGTGTAATTGAAGCGGCCGCCTCTTCTATCCGGCCTTGGGCTAAATATTCTTGAAAACGTTTAGCTGAATTTTGTACCTTATTATAAAGATTATGAATGATTAGATCTTTTATACATTAAAACTAAACGCTGTAGCATTACTTAAGACATAGCACGAAACATACTTCGATCAAATATTCTAAAGTATCAGCCACATATCTAGTACTATGGACTTCCTGCATTATTACACGATTTTCTTGTAATGCCGTAATGAGTTTGGGCTTCATTCCAACCTGTATTTGTAATATTCAAAATGTCGAATTCAATATATATATATATATATAAATGTAGGCTAAATGTACAATTAAGATACCTCAGAATCGTTGATCTCCCGAGACACGTTATCAACTTCTGTGAAAACAGTATCTATCTTATCGCGCAAGAAAACAGATTCATCATAAAGCTTATTGAATATATCTTGTCGATCGAGAATTATTTTGTATACTTCAGCCTGCAAAGAATAAAATTAAGAATAAAATGTAAATCGAAAGCTCTAATGAATTTTGAACGGTTAACATTAAAGGACAACCTTAATATCACGAATTTTGTCATCAATTCTTTGAATACATGCGAAGATAATTTCCTTTTCAGCAAAGGACGTTAACAATTTGTTTTGCTGGGCTTTGACAGGATTTGTGTCACGATCGTTACCATCGCCTTCATTTTTTAATATAGCATTTATGAAGGCAATTGGTACCGCGGTAGGGTTTATAGGTAATGGTGGCATATTTACTTTGCCAC